TTACCAAGGCTAATGTTTTTACTCCTGTTCCAAAATATATATTTTCATATATAAAATGGTGTATTTCATCAATTTTAAGACATGCATTTTATTTACATTTGAACACCAGTGCTATCAGGATATGTCATAATTCATGATATAATTAAATTAATAACATTTTTACTTTCTTAGTGGCACATAAATAACAGTGTACCTTACAATTCATGTTGTTTTAAATTGGATGAAAAATCAGTAAAATGTAAAGATCTTTATCAAGTTTGAAACTCCCTGTTGATACACAGGTTGTTTACAGTTTGCATGTACTCATAAGTGTGCTCATCTTTCACTTACCATTGGCCTAAAATCAAGGCAGAATTTTCACTTACATTGTTAGTTTTGGAGACAGGAATATAACAAAAGTAATGGGGAATTTGCTACATTTAATTAAAGAAACACCAGCCTAGATATGTTAAGGGGTTTGTTTGAGTTTGCAAGGCTGAAATCTAGTTAATAGCACCACAGATAGCACCTGCAGTTTCTCATGTGGATATAAGAAACGTCCACACCTGTACGAAATTTTTTGAGTTATTTGAGTGAAACTGATGACGGTTGCCAGGAAGCAAAGTCTCAACGGATTGAGAAAATGCTCTAGAGAATGTCAGCAGTTTTGCAGCTTATTTCATACATTACAATCAAAGGAGGAGACAGACCTAAGGGAGGTTATATGAGATTCATTGGTGGTAGATTATGGAGGCAGGAAAAAGCAAAGTGGGGAAATCTCTGAGATTGGATAAAGAGTAAAACGGAGAGACAAATACTTCTTTTACATGGGTGCGTATAGGATAGTTAACAATTACGTTTATAGCACATAGAGATGGTATGTGGGAACAATAAGGGGCTCTGTGGTCTCTTGCTCTGGTGCTGTGGGTGTACCCTGAGGGGTCTGAAAAAAGGGAACTCCTTTGACATTCCAAGGGTATGTTATCTTAGATCCAAAAAAAACAGTGCACAGCCTTACTTACGGTAAAGATTGACCTTTGTCAAGGAAGCTACAGGCCTAGGATGTGACTGTCAGCCATGACTCATTTTTAGTTAGGAATTTTTATGTTCAGACTATTCTAATGTGATTACTTTTATTCTTTGAGTTTGTAAGGCCCACCATGCAGGCCTCCCCTGAGCTTGTTTGGTTTAGTATGTAGCCCCCTTTTTGTCCACCCCATTTCTAGTTTTCCTATCATTTTCTCTTTGATGTTTAAGGATGACCCTTGTGAGACTGTGGCTGTATCCACTACAGAGTGACCAGAAGGCTGATATCTCTTGACCCAGCCCTCAGGCTGGCTCCATATAGCCCAGCGGCTGAGGCTTGCTTTGTCACTGGAGTACCTTTTGCATATTCACTGAATGGACTTCCAGTACTTTTCCTCCAAAGGAACAAGTCCAGATTGTCATGGTTCAGGTTTTTATGTCCTTCTGTTCCTTCCCAACATTTCACAGTTAACAGTGCATTCTGTGAAATGGTGCATCTTAGTGCCAACATTTTGTTGCTTGAACAACTTTCATAGTAGTTCATAATTCTGTGAATAATCCATGTCCATACATTCCCTCCTCCCATCCCAAGGATATTTAAAAAATCTTGTGCCAAGGCTCTGTGATAGCAGTAGGTGGCCCTGAGGAAACAGACCAAGGCCACTGTTTGGAGCACAGGAGGCCAGTGTGGGCAGGGCTAGAAACACACTATCTTACTGACCTCTGCTCTCATTCTGAGACCAAAAGGAATCCTCTGGTCTTTCCCCTTTTTGTTTTTTTTTGTATCAAATTTACCTTTAAAAAGATCACTCCAGAAAGACTGGATTTTGTGTGTGTTGGATGAGGGGGTATGTTAGGAGAGGATGGCTATTTTGATAAAGAGACTTTTCCCCTGGATTGATTTGGGATGAGAACCTAAGTGGATGGAAGGTAAGAAAATGGTGATAGTATGAATAAACAACTTTGGAAGGTTATTGTTCAGGGAGAAAACAGAGCACTGAACTCTCACTCTCATTTTACTCTCTAGGCCCCTGGAAACTGCTGTTATTTTACTCTCACTTTTATCTCCCCCACAGCAGCCTGGATCCCAGGGGCATCCATGTCCACTGGGTATCAGTGAGCACTTATGCTTGAATTCTTGCTTCCCCGTGATCTCAACCCCCACCCCAGATGCAATGGTCAGTAAGAAACACACTATCTTACTGACCTTTACTCTCATTCTGTGACCAAAGGGAATCAGTCCTCTCTTCTCTTCTGTACTCCAAATACTTGCTTTCCCCTTATTCTTTTACTTGGTTAGTGGTGCTGCCACTTCTGACTCCTCCCACTTTGGTACCCCCCACCCCACTCCCATCTGCCCTACAAATTGTCCAAAGTTTGGGGCTATCCAGAGACTCTGTAGTCTTAATGATTTGGCTGTATTGTCTCTTGGATTTATTCTCTTCTTTCTCTTCTCACTGTCACTGCCTCATCATTTTTTGATCTTTTTAAAGGTAAATTTGATACAAAAAAGACAACCTCTCAGTGCTTCAGTTAAAAACTGGGGATTACATTACCCACCTTGAAATTTTGCTAGGAGCAGTAGTTTAAATCAAGTGTGTAGAATGTGTAGCATAGTGTTTCACTATTAGTAGATGTTCTGGGCTTGTTTTCTACTCACTAATTTATCTTCCTGGCTCCAGTTTTAGCCATACCCTTTTGTTTTTGTCCTGCTGCTAGAGTGGACTTCTCTAAATACGCCCCCTTTTAAGCACCTTCAGTTTTTCTCCATTGCCTACAGTGTAGCCAAACCTCCTTAACGTCTCAGTCCAGGCCCCAAATCTAGTCCCATTGTTTAATGACCCCATCCTTTACTCCTACCTTTACCATCTTGACTCTCACAGGACTTTCTTGCTGCTTATGTCCCAGCTGCATTAGACTACTAGATGTTGTCTAAAAGCCCTATTTTGACTTTGCGTTTGTGGTTTTTGATTCAGAGTGCCCTTTTCTCCTTTCTCCCTATCCCCTGATTGTTTGAAAAAATGAGCCCAAAGTTTATTATATAGTTGGTAGAATTATATATGTATTTATATATAGGGTGCTCCTGAAAAATGTACACACACATTTGGAATAATTATAAAGGCAGCATTTATTAAAATACATTTCATTTTCAAAATTGAGCTATCAGCTGTAAAAGTGTATATATATATTTTTGGGACACTATGAATATGAATATATGTGTATATATTCAGACATATGCACGTGCCTCAAACTATCATCACAAGGAGTAGCATAAAGTTGTCTCTTCCATCTGTTAGACATATTATTTTGAGAATAACTTAGTCTCTAAATGTGTGTGTCTACCTCTGTTAAAAGAAGTGGGGTTAAAATGGATGGTCTTTGTTTCTGCCTTTTGTAAAGGCCTGGGCCTGAACTTAATAACCCAGGTGGGTCGATTCTATGAGGATAACTGACATAACTCACCTAGACCCTTTGCTTTCTAATAGAATTTAAAGGATTTAGATGAGTCGCTAGTTAGCAGGGAAAGTAAAAAAAGAATTAACATTTGGTGAATGACAAGCACTTTATGGGCGTTATGTCGTTGAATCATCTGAAACCCCTATGAGATAAGCAGGTATTTAACAGATGAGAAAATTGAGGATTAGAAAGGTTAAGTTACTTGCTCAAGATATAAAACTTGTTAGACTCTCTTAGCTACTGTCTCCCACAGACAGTGAAGGCTCAGCAACAGTGAGTGCTTTTGTCAGCTGTGGTTTTTTTTCTGAACACGGATTGTTCTCTAGACATGCAGACTATTTACTCCGGATAGTTTGAAAAAATAAGTGAATGGTTCAGTGAATGTGTTCATCCTATGGTTTGTGTTCTTCCCCCTTTTCTCTGGGACAGTATTTCTACTTAAACACTATTGAAGTCATAAACAATAATATTTGGCTTCCTGTTATTGCACTTATTTTCTTAGGGTTATGTGTATTAAGTGTATGCATTGTATTTCAACTAGACAGAAAGCAAATATTTGTTTAGTACAATAGGAAAGAAATGAAATTCATGGCAGATGAGTGCATATTCTTATTACATTGCTTATTTTATGTGTTTGGAGTCCTGTATACATAGTTCAAAATCAAGGATTTCAGTGCCTTGTGTTAAGTGGTGGTGGTGATAGCAGTAATAACAAGGTCAGCAACAACAGTTGTTATCATGTGCGTACATGTGTGCTACATTTGTTATATACACATTTCTAAATATTTTACTTGTATTAGCTTTTTATAGCTTTTTAAATTCTCTCTGAATAAACCCCACAGGCAGGTAGTGTTATCTCCATTTTATACACGAGGGAATAGGGCCACAGAGAGATTAGGAAACTTACCTTAGGTCGCATAGCTAGGATACACACTGCACTGACTTGGCAGTTCTAAATCTGAGTTAATTCAAATTTGTATTGTTCACCAGTTAACTACATTATTGAAATGCCTTATTTATCTCCTTCCTGTGATTTGGACTCATTGCACTTTTTAGGGGCATGGAAACAGATTATCTTCAAAGTAAAAATGAATAGGCCTAGTGGGCTATATGTAATCACTTGAATTACTGACGTATCCTCAAGGAACTAAGGTACTCCTTACTATGTGTTACTAACAATAATATTTTAAAAATTCAGGTATGAACATATTACACATTCATGAAGGTGCTTTAATTTATTCTACAAGATGTCATTGCAATGGAAAATTTCTTGTTTAAATGCTGGGTGGTGGAATAGTTTCTTTCGATTACATCTGATAAGGAATTTTTAAAAGGTTTGGCAGGAATAGGTAAACATCTTTATAGTATGCAGTAATACTAGATTCTAAACTTGTGTTTTACAGCAAGACAGTTTGAGCTAATAGGGACATAATGTTTTTATAAATTTGAGGAAATTTTTATTGACTAAGAAATATATTATGTAATATGTTTTAATGCCTTTATATTAAACTCAGTATTTTTCTTCCTTTTTTTAGTTCTCCAAAGGACATGGATGAAAATGAAAGCAACCAGTCCCTGATGACAGACAGCCAATATCCTAAAGAAGCAGTAAGAAAACGCCAGAATGCTGCACGGAATTCTGGAGGAAGTACTTCTTCTAGGTTTTCTAGGAGAAGTTTCAAACTGGATTACAGACTAGAGGAAGATGTAACTAAATCAAAGAAAGGAAAGGATGGGAGATTCATTAATCCTTGGCCAACGTGGAAAAGTCTCTCTATCCCAAATGTTCTAAGATGGCTGATAATGGAGAAAGATCATAGCAGCATTCCTTGTTCCAAAGAGGTAGTGTTTGGCCCTTTCGAGTACTGTGTATTTACTCTCTCTTTTTTTTCTTTTTCTTTTTTTTAAAATAAATATATCTTTATTGATTTCAGAGAGGGGAAGGGGGAGGGAGGGAGAGAGAGAGAGAAACATCAATGATGAGAGTTGTCATTGATCAGCTGCCTCCTGTGCGCTCCCAACTGGGGATCAAGCCTGCAACCCGGGCATGTTCCCCGACTGGGAATCGAACCATGATCTCCTGGATCTTAGGTCAATGCTCAACTGCTGAGCCACGCCAGGCCGGGCTGTATTTACTCTTTATATAAAAACTTTACTGTGAATTGTGTTATGACACTGAAGTTAGTTGAGTCCCTTTTATATGATAAAGCAGAGGGTTAGGCTCTCGGGAGATGAAGTGAATAAAGTGCCTTCCCATTCATGGTTTAGCAGCAGAATACTGATCTGGTGGCAGTGGTGGCAGGAACAGAGTACTTTAGAAGTACAAGGAGGAAGCAGTTAATTCTCACTGGTGGGGCTGGAAATGTCTTCATAGAAGAGGTGGTATTTGACGTGGGCCTAGAGAGAGAAAAAGTATTTGGAAGTGGTTTTCCAGGTCGCATGGACAAGGTCACGAAGGTAAGAAAGTGCATGTTCCACAAAGTAGTAACCTGTGTTTGGAATATGAATTATGAGGGTTAAGGTGTGGCCCAAGGGCGTTTGGTATTTTATCCTTGGATAAAGCTGCTAAATCTGTAAAAGAAATCTTCAGATAACTTTTTCAGACCTTTAAAAATTGACAGTAGGTTACTGGCCTTTCAATATGCTGATTTTACTTAGACTAAAACTTACTAACATTTCTCATAAGGTTTATTAGCTGAATGAGATTATACTTTGGCAGGGATGGGTGGCTCCTAATTGTAGTAGCACCTTTTTCTCTTTTCTCCTTTCTTAAATTCCTTTTCCTCTCTTATGTCCTATCTCCCCTAGCCAGTTTCCACTAACCCCATATCCTGCCAGGATTTATGGGGAGTTGATAGATAAAGAACTTGATGTTGGGAGTGGTGGCAGCCCTGAAGAGGCAGGAGGGGAGGAGGTGGGTGGGTGGTGGTAGTGTTAGATATTATATCTGGGTATGTGTGTCCATTTTTCTTAAAAGGATATGGGATAAAAAACCTGACACTGCTTAGATGCTAAGTATTAATCCTAATAGACATAATTGATTAACATGAATATCTTACCAGCACTTTTTAAGAATGAGTTAGGACATTAATAGATAAAACCGTGTTGCATATTTCAATTTTGAGGATGAGAGGAACAAGAAAAATCTTTTTCTGGAGAACCCCATGTGTAGAGAAACATGGAGTCGAACCGTGAAGAGAAGGGTTAGGCAGGAGGCCATTGATGGGTAGGCTGCCTGTTGCGGTAAATTCTTCCTGGTTTTTGAGCCACGGCTTGTAAAAATAGAGATAGCAATGGTGCCTTTAGTTTGATTTCATTTCAAAGAGGAAGTGAGTGACCACGTGAAAACAAGTACATCTCTGCAGTCTAGTAATTTGAAGATACAGTACTCTAGAAAATATTGAATCTCTGAGAACTCGCCAGGCCAGTGGTCCTTAGGCTCTTTTGGATACTGGCCCCTTTTGAAAATCTGATGAAAGCTGTAGACCCTCTTCTTAGGGAAATATACACATGCACATAAACACATTGCCTTTTACTATAATTGTAGGGAGTTCTTGGGTGCTTTTAAGGCAGTCCATTAGCTCATTTATTCATTTACTTATTTAGTAAGTATTTACTGAGCAGGTGCTCAATAACTAAAGAAATGTCTAGGTGCTATACGTAGAGCAGTGACCAAGCAGAAAAACACCCTTAACTGCCTTGGACCTTTGGTTTAGTGGATGAGAGAGACAGTAAACAAGTGAGTAAATTCTGTGGTATATTAAAAGATGATTGGTGTTCTGAACAAGAATAAAGCAGAGGAGGAAGTTAGGGGTGATGGAGGTAGGAGCTGCATTCTTTAATGAAGTTTAAACTTTTTTTAATTCAGAAGATTTTCTTTTTAAAGAAAATGTCAAAGGAGATCTCAATATGTACCACTTACATATGTATCACATAAAAGGAGAAAGGACACTTTTGCCCTATTCCAGTTTATATTTTATTTCTTTTCTCTTACCTATATCTTGTTCCAGTAAAAGCCTAGAACTAGATCCAATGCATGTTGACTTGTTATTTTCATAGGTAACTGTAATTCATTCCATATTTAATTCCTTTAAATTGCCCAAATTGTTAACTTTTACCAGCTTCTAAATGTGATAGTCATACATTTTCTGGGGGGGAAAAAATCTAAAAACCAAAACATATTAAGAACCATGTAAAGAACACCTGATTCAGATAATTGGGTCAGTTTAGAATTTAAAAAAATATATTTTTTAAAATATGTTTTTATTGATTTTTCAGAGAGAGGAGAGAGAGAGAGAGAAATATCAACATCAACATCCCCCAGCTGCCTCTTGCACGCCCCCTGTTGGTGATTGAGCCCGCAACCCAGGCATGTGCCCTCACCGGGAATTGAACAGTGATCTCCTGGTGCATAGGTTGACTCTCAACCACTGAGCAACACCGGCCTGGTGGGTCAGTTTAGAATTTAATCACATTTCTGGGAATTGTTTTGTTAGGCATTGGGAGGCTAGAGTTTAATAAAAAGCAACTTCAAATTATTGTTTTGACAGAAACAGACTCATAGATACAGAGAACTTTTTGAAGGTTGCCAGATGGGAGAGTTGTGTGGGGACTGGGTGAAAAAGGTGAAGGGATTGAGAAATACACATTGGTAGTTACAAAATAATCATGGATTTGTAAAGTATAGCATAGGGAATATAGTCAATAATATTGTAATGTCTCTGTTTGGTGCCAGGAAGGTGCTTGAATTTTCAGGGTTTTTTTATGATATATGCAGGGTTATAATCACTATATATTATAGAATTCATACCATTATATTTAGGTATATAAATATGAAAATGCTTTGGGAGAAATAATGATTAAAGTATAATATAACTAATAGAACAGGTATAAGTAAAATGAAAAGGGGTCGTTAGCAGAGCTACGCAGTTTAGTTGCATTCTCGAAGAATAGTGTGGGTTGTTTTTTTTTTAATTTTAAAGATCAGATTTATTAACAACCACACCTCAAAAAATGGGATTCATATATCAAGACATCTCCCAGGTATTAAGTCTACAGATTAAAAATCATTTTCATAGACAGTATTTTTGTACAAATTTTATATATTTGAGGAGTGGGACATAAATTTCTGTTTCTGTTTTGATGATATTTCTTTATTTGGGCAGTTCCTGATATTTTCCTTTTCTGGGTCTGTAGAGCAGTGTGCAGTGCACAGGCTTGGCATTATTCAGATGCTGTCATTGTTTTGTAGGGCTGCAATTGGCTCAGTGACTTGCCCGATTGTTATTGTCACCAGCCAGGAAAAGAGACAGAGAATCTCAAAGAGGGAGGGACCAGGCACCTCCTGAGTTTTATTAGGTGAAGGAGGTTGTCCTTATTAGTTATTGCTATAGAAGTGAGCAGGAGACTGTCAATTGGGGTGTGAGAGACAGAACTGAGGCTGCACAGCATGGCCTGGTAGAAAAAGTTGGACACCAGGAGTGTGGAAGCCAGATTCTGGCTCAGGGTTCCTTGCCCAGTCTGTGACCTTGTTTCTGTCACAGTCCCTCAAGGAACTCCTTTTTTGTCTGTAAAGTTAGGATAAGACAGTTTAGGTTACTGCAGTAGTTTTTGGTTCACCTGGCACATGAAAGTACCTTGAAAATATAATGCAATCTGGCTGTATGATATTGAAGAATAGGGTGCCCTTTGGAAAAATGAAACATACCAGTTATTTTATATTTATACTGTAGTATGCTAACGGGTTGCTCTTTTATTTTTATGAAGAGAAAAAATACATGTATGCAGTTTTTAAAAAGTCTTAGTACTGAAAGGCTTATTAGAAAAATATTCGTCTCCTAATCAGCCCCTGCTACTCCATCTCCGTCCCCAGTTGCAACAACTTTCTACCCTTTTAAATTGTTTCCTCTAGAGTTTACCTTCATATTTTTAAAAATTTTATTGTGGTAAGAACACTTAACATGAGATCTGTCTTGAATTTTTAAGTGTACATTGTAGTTGACAATAGTCTCTAGAGCTTTATCTTGCTTAACTGAAACTTTGTGCTCCCTGGTAGCAGCTTCCCATTTCCCTCTCCCCCCAGCCCCGGCAACCACCATTCCACTCTCTGATTCTATGAATTTGACTATTTTATATACCTTAGATATGTGGAATTGTGCAGTATTTGTGTTTCTGTGGGCCTTCATATTTTCTATTGGATTTAGCTCACTCTGTCCCCCTCCCTATTTCTCTCGCTTGGTTCTATTTGACTTTCCCTTTACTGTATATATTGTTTTCAATATTTTTCAGTGATGAACTAATTGAGTAATGTACTATGATTATGTTTCCTTTCTTATATACTTGTCCCCCCTGGATTTAATGATACCTCTTTTTTCATCTGCTTAACTTTCTGACTTATCATTTCTCTCCTCCTCCATACAGTTTTCTTGAGGGAGAGCCTGAACTGTTCTTTCAGTACAGGGCTATAATCTGGGCTGACAGCCCGCCAGGCTCTGCCAACTTCTGTTCTAGGGTCTTCCTTCACCATCATCCTGGCTCCTTTACCACTTCAGTGTTTGCCGTTTCTTGCATCTCACTTGTTCCTCTTTCTTGGATATTTTCTCATTTTGGTGGAGACATTCTTAATGAGCTTCCTGAGAAAAGGGTACTTGGGAAGTCAGCTTTTGATACTTTGCTTGTCTGAAGTGTCTTTATTCTTATTCTTTTTTTTTTTAATCCTCACCTGAGGATATATTTTGTTAATTCTTGAGAATATTTTTTCCATTGATTTTTAGAGAGAGTGCGGGAGGCGGGGGTGGAAGGACATTGATCGGTTGCCTCCAGTACATGCCCCAACTGGGGCCAGGGATTGAGTCGGGTGCCCTGGACCGGAATTGAACCCAAGACCCTTCAGTCTGCAGGCCAGTGCTCTAATCACTGAGTAAGACCAGCTAGGGCCTTAACTCTTGATAAGTACACTATATAGCATTTGTTATTGTTCACTAACCCTGACTACTAACTTTGAGAACTGATTTGAAAAATTTACATTCATTCACTCATTCATCCAACTAATTTTATTAACACATGTTGTATTTCATTACTGAACCACTACTGTGAGTGATTCTGAGTTGAATAAGACATGAGATACATCCTGTATATATTTAGCCAGGGTATAAGACAGAATAGTCATTGCTGATGCATGAACAAAGTGTTATGGAAGTTGAGATGTGGGAATGCTTGCTTCTAGTAGTGGACACCAAGGGATGGTCTCATGAAGGGTGTGCCATTTTATTAAGGACTCATGGGGATGGAGGGGAAGACATTCTAACCTGAGAAATGGGGTCAGTATTATGCATGGCTCTCCGGTTCAGTTTGGGAACAGAGAGCAGTGCTGGTGTAGTTGGGACACAGAGCAGTGAGGAGTTGAGTGAAACAGCTGGAAAGGGGGATTGGGGCAGTCCAAACAGGCTTGATGCTGGCCTGAGGAGGTGAGATGTGTATTGTCAAGCAGTAGAGAGACAGGAAAGATTTTTCAGCAGGGAGAAAGTTATACCATATGTAGATTGCTTTTGAAGTGACTCCTGTGTGGATTGAGTTGACAGGAAGACAGTTGAGCAATTAGGACTTTAAAGTGTCTGGATGTTACTTAGGATCTTAGGCAGGTTAGTAACTATGAGAAAGGAAACAGGTAAGCTGTAAGAGATCTGTAGGGTTGGTGCCTGGTTGGTTGTCAGGGTTTGGGCTTTCTTTTGGAATACTTGTAGAGTGCTAGCCACCAGTAGTTCAGTCCCCACAGCAATGAAATGTGTAGGGACAATTGTACCCATTGTTCAGATGAGGAAACTAAGACTTAGGGTGGGTAAGAGAAATGTTTATTGTCTGGTTCTGCTGCTCCTCTTTTTCTGTCCAGGCCATTTTCCCCCTCAGACTATCTCAGTGAGCTCTCAGTTTGCCTTTACCAGCATCTCCTCCATTTGCCGTCTCGTCTCTGCTCATTGCCATCTCCTTCATTCAGGTCTTCATTGCTCATGGCATCTATTGTGACATGCTCCAAGGTCATCATTTTCACTCTGACAGTGATTTCTCTAAATAGAAATTGGGTCATGTCTTTTTGTATTTTTAAGATGCTTTCTTATTGTCTCTGGGCAAAGTATGGCATTCAGGGCTCTTACTGTATTCTGATCCTTTATAGATTTAGCTTTTCTCCTGCTCCCCAAAACACCAGTTCCTGTTTTGGCTCTTTGCCTTTGCTTGGGCACTTTCTCCACCTGAAATGCCATTTTCTCTGCATCTTGAACTTCTCATCATTCTTCAGGCACTCACACAGGTTACTGTGTCTGCAATGCCTGTGGCAATAGGGCTCTTCGTTTCTTCTTATTAGGCTATATAGCATGTCTTATATTTAATTATCCAGTACCATACGCTTTTCAAAACTGATTTGCAACAACTTACAAAAATACATGTAGTAGTAAAAGATGGATGAACATATAAGAGCAAATGGACTATGAGGATAGAAAAATAAAGTCAAGAATAAAGTTAGTATAGAAATATGTTCCATCATGGCCTGCACATTGCTAGAGGCAGCTTCAGCTTTTACTCTGAACATCCATCCTGTCAAAGTGAAAAGGGAACCGCGAACTTGGAGTTTCCCTAATGACAGTCCAGTGCATAAAGGCAGTTGTTCCGGAGAAGAGCTTTTCCTGTTACTAAGAACTGAGAGAAATGTTTCTGGAGTGAGTGGAAAGATAGAGGTGAAGGTGGTACCAAGCCAAGTTTCATGAGGTGGCTTCGTCAGAGACCTTGATGGAGCTGTATAGCATGATACCAAAGCACAGTTTATAAAAGCAGTTTTATAACAGCCATTGTTATGGCCCTACAACCCACCTGCTTCTTGGTCTAGCTTAAGCATAAAATGTGGAATAACCAAAGGAGTAATGTACCACATTTTGTTGTAGTTATTGTTTTACATCTGTGTACCCCCCAAAATGATCAACTTCTCCCAGGTAGAGACCATGTTTTACTTTGGTTAGATCAATGGTAGAAAACTTTAAGAGGAAGAATGAGGAGAACCTTCTGTGATTGTGATCTGCCCAGGAATCATCACATTGCTCTGCTTTGAATTCTATGTACTCAGAAAGTCAGATTCATAGCTGAGGTCCAAGATCTGTATATAAAGGGTTGTAAGTTTTCTTTACTGTTTCCAGGGACTGACCTGTGTCTGAGGCAGTTTTTAAGCAGCAGCTGCACCAGCCAGCTGAAATGGCAGTACCAAAGTGACTGCAGTTAGGCTGGTCTGCCACTAGTAGTTACAGAAGAGAGCTTTAAATATTTAGTACATTCAGTAGTGCTCAGTTTTAAATTTAATATTTCCTTTACTTGCATTTGGGGCTAAGAGGATCTTACATTACTATATTGTCATGATTAATGGGGAAGATTCAGAAAGAAGTGTGTATTTTCAAGAGAAAAGCAAAAATAGCAAATTTATTGAATGACTTCATTTTCCCCAAATAGCTCTTCTATTATTTATGTGAAATATGTTCTGTGATGACATAATATCTTTTGCTTTTTTCTAATAGTTGCTTTTCTTTTTTTATACACTTAGGAACTTGATAAAGAACTCCCAGTGGTTAAGCCGTATTTTATCGATGACCCTGAAGCAGCTGGAGTGAGTGAAGCTGGCTTAAGAGTCACATGGCTGGGACATGCAACGGTAATGGTGGAAATGGATGAGCTCATCTTTCTCACAGACCCCATCTTTAGCTCACGTGCTTCACCGTTGCAGCACATGGGCCCAAAGCGTTTTCGGCATCCCCCATGCTCTATAAGTGAACTCCCCCGGATAGATGCGGTCCTTATCAGTCACAACCACTATGACCACCTGGACTACAATTCTGTCATCGCTTTGAATGAGCGATTTGGTAATGAATTGAGATGGTTTGTGCCATTGGGTCTCCTCGACTGGATGCAGAAATGTGGCTGTGAGAATGTGATTGAGCTGGACTGGTGGGAGGAGAATTGTGTCCCAGGACATGATAAGGTCACTTTTGTCTTTACACCTTCCCAGCACTGGTGTAAAAGGACTCTAATGGATGACAACAAGGTTCTGTGGGGCAGCTGGTCTGTGTTGGGCCCTTGGAATCGATTTTTTTTCGCAGGAGACACTGGGTATTGCCCTGCTTTTCAAGAGATAGGAAAAAGATTCGGACCTTTTGACCTTGCAGCTATTCCCATTGGAGCGTATGAACCAAGGTATGTGGACTGTCACAGAATATATTCCTGCTGTTATTATATCATAGTAAGCTAACTGAACTTTAAAGTAGTCATGATTTTGTAGTAATGTGTAATTTGTGATTTTAATGGTGACCTTAGTTATACATTAGCTGGGGTTGGTGTATCATATTCAATTAAAAATTTTAAATAATCCTAGTCATATTAGTTAAATAATTATTCAAAACCAGAAATTATATTACCAAGAAAAAAGAATTTCTATACCTCGCCCAGAATTTCACATACCATTTTAACTAAAGTTAAACTGATCAGCCAATATCAAACCTACCTGTTGTTCTTCCTTTCACGTGGAAGATACTCTCCTTAAACAGCCCCTCTCTGCTCCATGACTGCAATGCAACCTGTCCTAGAACTCCCTGTGTGTGCCAGAGGAGCGCCAGGAATAGGCCTTATAGCATTAGTAATTTAAAAAATTTTAAAAATGTTTTATTTTCTAAAGTGCATGCACAAATAGATACCTACAGAATTGTATGTAGGGTGACATTTTGTTTAGGCAATCCTGCAAGCAGAACACTAATACATACTGAACTGAGCAAACCTGATCATTGGTTTCCATCTCATTTTGTTTTACTTATTTAATTAACTTTCTAAGTTCACTAAAACCATTTCTTCACTATCTTTATTAATTCTTATTTCTCCCATTTATGTTTCTAGTTTCTCTAAGGGGCTAGATATTTTTACCTTATTTTAAAAAATTATTCTAAATAAATAATAGTGCTTGAATTTCACTTTTCCACTTAATTCGAATTCTGAATTGTAATGAAACCTCTCAAAACATCAATCAGGGTATTTATAAATCAATTTTATATGATATTGATCTTTACTCAGTATATTCTTTAAAAAAAAAAATATTGATTTCAGAGAGAGGAAGGAGATGGGGAGAGAGAGAGATAGAAACATCAATGATGAGAGACTCATTGATTGGCTGTCCCCTGAACGCCCCCAACTGGGGATCGAGCCCACAACCCAGGCACATGCCCTGACTGGGAATCAAACCACAATCTCCTGGATCCTAGGCCGACGCTCAACCGCTGAGCCATACCTGGCCGGGCAATATGTTCTTAATATGTTAGAAGATCTCATTTATAATTATGAAAATAAGTTTTCATATGTAGCAAAATATACACTTACCATATATCTGTGATGATATAAATTCACTTGTAATTCCCCCTTTCTGCTTGTATTGTCTTGTTACTGAGACGGTAAAAGGATATGAGGACATTATTTGCTCTAAGAAATTAAATTGTGGTAGCCTCTACTGTGTAATCTCTGCATAGTATTAACAGTTTTAGAATTAAGGTTATCTATCAAAACTTTAGAGTGCTCTGTACATGTAAGATGGTCACACCAGAAATGACTTTCAATAATAGGCATGGAATGTCATCCTTACTTTGGGGATTATGCTATTTGAGCAGTTAGAATTCTAACTTGGGTTAGTTAGAATTTTAAGGTTTTGTTTGACATTCACACTGGAGTAAAATTTTTAGTTCATATATGAATGAGGGTAGAAAGAAGTAAGTTGATCCCTTTGATTTGCAGTAGAAGTTTTAAAAAACGAACACCAATAACTGTTTTCATCTCACCCTGCATTCTGAGTGTCAGGAGCTATGGCAGAACAGTGCCTCTCTACTCCGCTGCCGAGAACAGTGTCTTTGTTTCTAGGCTCCCATAGGGCTCGGCACCTTCCACAGTAAATAACAGTCCTCTAGTTCTTACAGATGGGTGAGCTGTCCCATGATGTGTTCAATAAAGTGCAGAAGCACCTGTGCTGAGTCCATATCCATTAGTCTTGACTGCAGCAGTACTTGGCAGTAGCAGACCCAGAATATAAATAACGTGAAGACAATGTTGTTTTTCCTCTTCTAAACTGATGGCTGGGAAAGCAGAGGATTTGCTTGTAGAGAGTACACTTCCCTTTGTATCAGAAATAGTAATTTTTTTCTTCTGAAAGTGTTCCCTGTTTTGTCTGAGGCGTTGGGCAGCCTTTCAGTGTTTCTACAGTCTCTCTAATTAGTCCCCCTCTTGAACCCTGTCTTCTTGCCCAACAGACACCTCACTGTTCAGTTGTACGCTGTTTAAATAAAAATCCTTAAATGGTAATTGGGTTTTTGCTCCCAATCTTTAAATATTATGCATGAATTTTTGTTAACTTTTCACTTTAGCAAGTGTTAAAAAAATTTTTTAGCAAGTTATTCAGGTTCTTCTGCAATTAGACTTTTAGTTTCTAATTCTTTCCCAGTGTTTTGATTCATACCAGGATTGCAAACTATTTTTAAAAATATGTATTTATTGATTTCAATGAGAGGGAGAGAGAGAGAAATACCAGTGATGAGAGTCATTGATCGGCTGCCTCCTGCATGCCCCCTATTTGGGATCAAGCCTGAAACCTGGACATGTACCCTGACCAGGAATCGAACCGAGATCTTCTAGATCATAGGTTGATGCTCAACTGCTGGGCCACCCTGACCAGGCCAAACTATTTTTTCAAAGTAACAGTAAGACCTATTTTCAGAATAAATCATCAGTAAAATCAAAATATACATAACACAAAATCTTATTATTCAAAGGGAGTTTTGCTTGAGACATATCTATTGTATAGCTGTTTGTACACGAAATATTTTTGCTTAATTTTTTCCAGAAGAAAAGTAGACTCAAAGGAGATGGTTTTGCCTACTGTGATTTATTCCTGTGCAGAATCTTAAAAGTTGATTAGATGAAGCAGTCATTATATATTTCAAAGGCTAGAATTGGTAAATTGCTGTGTTTCACCAGGTGGTTTATGAAATACCAGCATGTAGACCCAGAAGAAGCTGTAAGGGTTCATATTGACGTTCAGACAAAGAAATCTGTGGCCATTCACTGGGGAACTTTTGCCTTAGCAAATGAGGTGAGTTTGATTGTGATAAAACTGGTTGTGTGTTTGACCTCTGATAGGATTCAGGCATCACCGCACCCTGTAGTGTGTTAACAGATAAAACTGGAATCAGAACCTGTGTGATTCATAGTCAAAGTGGTAAATCATGAATTAGTAAAACAATACTTATATACTAAAAAAAAAAATCATTTCATGCTGTTTTTTGGCTTATTTCTATAGTTAATAAATCATGTGTTTATATAACTAAAAATGTGTGTGGTCTTGGGAAACAGAAAAATGAACCATTGTGTCTTGTCTCTCGGGGAGCCCTTCATTCTAGCAAAACGTATAAGATGTACATAATGATTCTAAAACAGTTGTGAAAAGGGGTATGTGGTCTCAGAGTCAGGAATAATTACTGATTGGAGGGATCAGGGAGAGCTTCATGGAAGAGGTGACATTTGAACTTGGCCGTGAGAAGGCATTTCAAGAGGAGGAAAGGGCAGAGCATAGGATTGGAGGCAGCAAGCATGGGGGATAGTGAGGAATTCTGTTCAGTCAGAGTATGGATGTCATATGGAGGGCAATGGAGGAACTAAGGCTGGACAGCTTAGAACTTTTTAGAAATGTTATTCATCCAGTAAACATCAGTTCAGCGTGTGCTATGTTCCCGGTATTGGGATAGATGGTACTTTTACCGAGACTAATATAGAAGAGCTGATTTTTTTGCTTAAGGTAGCAGAGCCCTAGAACTCTGCTACTAGGCAGTTCAGGTGTCAAGCAAGAGGACAAAAGAAAGCTTTCTTTTCTTTCCTGGATCCAGGGCCTGCCCTAAGCAAAATTTAGAAATGGATGGTTGGCTTCTACTTCTCTTTATGTGACATCTTCCACATCCCAGGGCAGGAACCCTGTTTTCATGCTGTTTTTAGCACTCTTTTTCTGTCCTGTTTCTGGCCTGCCCTCTCCCTAGGTTACAACTTTTTCCAAAATTACTGAATACACCGCCTGCCTACTCCGTTACCCCCAATCAAAATTTCCATATGATGCAGCAACCCTGAGCCACATGGCTGGGAGATGGCATGGAATGAATGACCACAGGGATGGGGAGGGTGAATGAGAATATGTGTCTGTGTACTTGGAGAAGGGGGAAATTTGATACTGGTTTCCATTGGTATACTACTATATTCGGTGGCATTTCTTATTCTGGGTGTGTGTTCCTTATATAGACATATGTGTATATATATGTTCCATGTGTAATATATACCAATGACTTAGATGAATTATTTTATTAAACCTGTGCAAAAAAAAGGAATCTAGGGTGACTCCTAGATTTTCAATTTCAGTGATTGGGAAGATAGTTATGATCTTTCCTGAGATAGGGAAGATGAGAGGATAGAAAACGCCAGTCTTCACGAGCTACTGTATTATTCAGTCTTCAAGAATTAGTTCTGTTAAAAATCTAACTTCCATCTTTCTTTCTTAATGAAAGCAGGTAATAAAAACTCCTTTAGTCTTAGCAGTTTGGAATTTGTTCACATTTTGACATTCATTGAATAAACCTGATAACCATGAGTTTGTTAAATTATAAAATAGATGGAATTTATGGGGCGATGTTTAAATGTAAAACACTTTAAAATGATTTGCATGTAAGTAGCTATTTATACTAGCTGCTTACTATAATATAAACAGATTAAGGACATTCTTAACTTGGCAACACTTTGAAATTATACATGTAACAATATCTAATTTATCTAGGAAATGATGAGTGAATTTCCTAGATGATATATTTAAGCACTAAAACTTAAAACAACTCAGTTTTGGGGGAAGTAAATTTCAAGCATTACAAAACATATGTTAACCTTTTAAATGACCAGGGTCTTTATTATGAATATCTTCTGTTGGAGTAGATCATAAAATATACCCCTTAAAAGGGAACTTAGGAGTTGTCTGGGGCTGGTTGCCTGGCCCTTAAGGTCCTGAAGCTGGAAGCTTCTGCTTCACCACTTACTCTATTTTCCTCTAATCGACTGTCTTGCTTTATACATAGTTGTTTGGTCCCAGGGCTGTGGGATATTGTCTTTCCCTTGTGGGACTGAAGTGCTCGCACTATGAGATAGCTTGCATTCACTCAGAAGACTTTCTTGCCTTCTTCTAGGCCTATCTTCTAGATCAGGGGTGGGGAAACTTATTTCTGCCATAGGCCATTTGGATATTTAAACATCATTTGAGGTCTTACAAAATTATCAACTTAAAAATTAGCTATGATAAAAGCTCTTAGATTTATTGAATTTCAAGTTCTGCCTATGGTTGCCTTGGCAGCGCTGGACCAAATGATTTCGCAGGCCATATGTTCCCACCCCTCTTCTAGATGGTTGAAACAGCCAAGAATTGACCTATGAAGAAAGTCAGATATTTTAGTATAAAAATCCATACTAAGTTACAGATTATAACCAAAGTTATATTTTGGTAAAGAAATTATTAGTATAGGGTGATTGTGTAAGTATATTGTTGGCTAAGACTTATAGAGCATGGGAGGAAAAGAATTCAACAAAACAAGTGGTTTTTTAGTGGGAAAGAATTTCATCATTTTGAAATCTCAAACTAAAATAATTTTGCAAGGGCAATTTCTTGACTTAGGCTATGACTTAAAGTTACATTTTATTGGTGGTAACGTTAAAACCTAAGTTATTCAGCACTCAGTGGAAAGGCATCCCTGACCCTCTAAACATAGACATAAACCTAGAAGTGAGCAAATGGGGAGAAAAAACCCTGTGTGGCCAATAACTGTTAGCAAACCTGTGCATTTTTTAAAAAATTGATTGAGAGAAGGAGGGAGGGAGAGGGAGAGAGAAACATAGATGTGAGAGGGAAATATCAATCGGCTGCCTCCTGCACGCCTCCCACTGGAGATCAAGCCCGCAGCCTGTTCTTGTGCCCTGACTGGGAATTGAACCAGTAACCTTTTGGTGCATGGGGCGACGCCCAACCAACCGAGCCACACCAGCTGGGGCCAAACCTGGGCATTTTAAGACAGAAAAGTTTCTCGGTTTTTCTAGTACATCACCAGCTGTCCCTCTTAGTCTCTGCTGCTAGTTCCTTGTTTATGCTCCCTCTAAACAGTGAGTGCCTTAGGACTCAGTCCATGGATCTCTTCTCTAGCCCTTGGGGATTTCATCAGTCTGATGGCTTTAAATACCATGCATCCACTGTACCTCTGTAGCTCAAGTTTTTTCTCTCTAATCCACATTTATATTTCCAACTGCCTTCTTAACAATGGTACCAAAATCTAAGTCCAAAACCAAACTTCCGGATCCTTTCTCAAATTTGTTTCTTTTACATCTCAGTAAATGGCAAATCCCTTCTTCCAGTTATGTAGTCCAAAACCTCAACTTCCCTTTCTCTTATATCCTCCATCTAGTTTTTCTGAACTACATGCAGTCAGCTCACCCTTCAGATTATATTCAGACTTTGACCACTTCTCATCACCTTCAGTGCTACCATGCTGACCCTTACAGTCTGTTCTCAACACTGCAGAGGACAGACCTTTGCACCGTGAATCAGATCATGACACTTCTCTGCCAGAAGTACCTAGTAGCTTCCCATCATACTCAGAGTCAAAGCCACAGCTCTCACAATCGCCTACAAAGTCCTGTGCATTCTGCCCCATCAGGTCTACTTTCAAATGTCCCCCTCAATTTGAAAATTGTATTTAAAATTAAACCTCCATCTCCCACCTTACCCCCATTTTGTCCCCAGAATATATCGACCACTCAGATCAGATACTGTTTTCTTTTTAAAAATATATCTTTATTGATTTCAGAGAGAGGAAGGGAGAGATAGATAGAAACATCAATGATGAGTGGTCATTGATCGGCTGCCTCCTGCACGCCCCCGACTGGGGATCAAGCCGGCAACCTGGGCATGTGCCCTGACCGGGAATCGAACCGCGATCTCCTGGATCCTAGGTCGATGTTCAGCCACTGAACCACACCTGGTGGGGCACTGTTTTCTTATTTATTCATTTCTTATCTGGTCTGTATTAGAATGTAAGCTCTAGGAAAGTAAGGGTTTCTGTTTGGTTCCCTGGCCTGGCTACTCTGGGTGCTCAAAGGATACTCAATGCGTGAAGGGTGGAGGCACACTTACCCCTGGTGATTAGATGAGACAGTTTGATTTTTATTACTTTCTACTTACACATTTTACAGCTTTTAAAATTAAAATTTGGGAAAACCCCTTTGAAATAAAGGGAAAAAATAGCAATTATACAATGTAAAGATTTAGACCAAAAGAAAAATAACTGGTGAGATGATTTATTTTTTATATCTTTTAAATTAGTAGTTAGAATAACATATATTCAGGTTATTTGGAAAACTGAGAGCTTAAAACATTCTGCAACAGTGTGCTATCTTTATTTTTAGATTTGAAAAGATGAGGAAACAAAGGGAAATAGGGACATTCCACCTGTTGTATCTGTGTCCCTCTTTCACTCTGTACACTACAGTATCGATACATTGCTAGGGGTTTGAGGATAATAACCCTTCTTCATCCAAAAAAATTTCTCTAGCATTTGCTTACAGACACAACCCTCTTATAATGTAAGTTTCTTTATTTAAAAATATTGGTAATATTTAATTCTCTAATATTATCTTAGGTATTGGTTCCATTTAGATTGAAATTTCATGTAGTGAAATAGTGATTAGATTTCATGCAATCTAATAATGTGCAGTGTAAGTTGGCACCAAATTTGACATACACGGTGTTTAGATAGATTGATAAGTACATTTCTTTCGACTTAACATTTGTATTAGAAAATGTGATTAATTTATTTGCTACTGCTTCAGTGAAAAGAAAGGGCATTATTTTAAGTAGGCATATGTTGTTTTAGTTTGAATTGTTATTTGAAATATCCCCCAAATACATGTTTGGTTAATCTTTTTTCATTTTTTTCTCTCTCTGCCCTTTGCCAGCATTACTTAGAGCCTCCAGTGAAACTGAATGAGGCTCTAGAAAGATATGGACTTAAGACTGAAGATTTTTTTGTCTTGAAGCATGGAGAATCAAGATACTTAAATACTGATGAAGAAAACTTTGAATAAATATGAGCACAGGAGCTTTTAATGAAATAAATTTGATATAAATTTCATGATTTATGATTTTTTAAAATCACAAATTCATGATTATGATTTTCTTTTTTACATTGGGAAACTTCTGCAAGTTTCTGTTTTGTGTAATAACTTTACTGATACAATTGTCATTCAGAAAAGAGTTCAGGTATGGATCATTTAAGTAATGAATTGGCTAAAACTGATTTTAAAGACTCATTTCTGTTCTATTCTTACAAGCCTTCTGCAAAGTTAGTTAAGCCTGTCTATATACCTAGATTTTTTTCAGAGGACTGCTCACATAAACGTATTTCTTACATTCACATTAATTGATAAAATTGACTCCCACATGCTCATAGCACTTCTTGTTCTACTAAGAGTAGCTTACACGCCAAATATTAAGTGATATATTTTTTTAAGCTTAAAAACAAAGAGGTGGTTGGGCTAAGTTACCATTTGTAAAGAATTTTTTAAAAGAGGGGAACAGTATGTTTCTACTGCATGTCTACAATCCCCAAATCAAAAGCCCTGATGGAAAGAGTGTGGTTATGAGATCATTTATGAAATTTTCTATTTTTAATCTAAATGTCAGACCTGCTAAGCACAAATATAGCTGCAAGGAAATAACATTTTACAAAGATAAATGCAGATCTTAAATGTTAATATACCATGCACTTTGAATTAAATTTATTCTCTCCATACACTCATTTTTTTTCTGGTTTCTTAGCTCTTACTCTAAATCAGTAAGATTTATATTTTATGTTTTACATTATTCAGATGTCTTATATTTTTATATTAAATTACCCCGTCAGCACGATTCTACTTTTGTTAAGCCAGCGTGAAATACAAATGGTAGAGAGAGAGGAGAATCAGCTGATCTGAGCTTTAGTCCTGTAAGGGCTCTGTAGTCACTTGATTACTCTGAACCATCATAAGTGAAGAGAGCTGATTAGATACATTTGGAGGCCCATTCTATCTGATCCATAGTCTCAGTGATATGAATTTTATTCATAACAAATAATCAAAATAGGTTTTTTACACCAAATGCTACCAGGCAGTGCTGGTAGCACATATATATGCATGCTACATGTTAGCCAGTTAACTTCACCATGGGTTTTTCTGTGTACCCTGGAACAAGTCACCTATGCTCATTGTGCCTGTTTCCTCACGTGCAACAAGAGAATTTTGACCTACCTCCAAAAAATGTGAATAAAGTGGTTTTTTAAAAATGCACTTTGAAAATATGAGAAAATGATTTTTTAAAAAAATATATCTTTATTGATTTCAGGGAGAGAGAGAGATAGAAACCTCAATGATGAGAGAGTCATTGATCCAGCTGCAGCCTGCAACCTGGGCTGGTGCCCTGACCGGGAATCGAACCCCGATCTCCTGGATCCTAGGTCGATGCTCAATTGCTGAGCCATGCCCGGCTGGGCAAAGTGATTTCTTAAGATATCACTACCTACCTAATACAGATAACGTAGATCTGAAAGCTGAAAATAGGCTAATTCTTTTGATAATGTAGTGTTCCTGTTGTATATTTACACATATATCAGGACACTGAACACTGAGGACTAACAACTTTATCTCACTCATTTTATAAAATTGCAGAGCCAAAACAAATGTAAGTGATCTTAATCAAAATTTAGCATTTTAACCTACAAAGATGCAAATCAGTCAAGGGGAATCGTGTATATAATACTTGTATATATAATGTATGTGAATGTATGTGATTAGAGGGGGCACTAAAGCACAAAAAATTTCCCCATAAAATAAAATAGACCTTCAGGAAAAAAACTGAACAAGCATAAACTTTTTCACTTCAAAGGAGCATTTAGCAAGCAGATGCAAATCAGAATGTTAGGATTGTGGTGGATTAGTTTTGAGGCGTTGCCCTAATTATAGCCAGTGTTGTGGTCACTTTCCTTGCTGTTGCACTCTGAAGGGAAAATGCATCTTACCTCTGCTCTAGGAAGCAAGCCAAGTACATCTTATTTCTTCTCTGTGACTGGCCTTAACATTATTTTTGTATTCACATGTACCAACTGATGGTCTCTAAGCACTTTAAATTATGTTCTAGTTCTACTTAATTGCCTCATTTTTCTAGGCTGCCTCTCAAGCTTTAATTTTTAATTACCATTCACATTCTTTCTACTTTGATATTTTATTGCTAAGAAGTACATAAGGCTTCGCCTCTCATTTATTGTTACTGTTTTATTTTTTACTTATCTACATTTTGAAGGATTTATGTGCAAAACTAAAAAAATTTGAAAAATAAGACAAATCTCTTCCCTCTATTCAGTCTAATGTACTTCACAGTACCTTTTAATCTCTTACCCTGTAAGTCAATTTCATTTTCCTCTTTGATTAGCTAGCATCATGATATGTGAGACTTTATTGAAGTTCCCCTTTCTCCTGTGGGAACTTAGGAACACCGATATTCCTCACTGCCCAAGAGGTGGAACCACCAATTAGGAGAAATCGCACCTAGTAAAAGCCAAGGTGTGCCATGACCCACAGAGATAAAAGATCTGCTTCTGTACTTTCTAGATAGTTAAAACTGACTCCCCCTTTTCTCCAGCATTTTGACATTTCAGGTTCAGTGATCTCCAGGATATGTGATTATTTATTCAAACTAATGGAAAAAAAGGAGACAGCTTTAGAATCCAGTGCTGCTAAAGTACACTAAAACCAAAGCCTGGTTTTTATCATTTTTTGGTTTTGAGGGGGGTGTTTTTGCAGAAAAATTTATTGTTCCCATTTGGTCCAGTGCATGGGAGAGGGCTCTAGGATGGTGGTTTCAGGGAGAGGTTCAGGCAGAGGCCAGACACCAGGGTGACACTGAGGGGCCCTTTGAAGGCCTCTGGGCTCCATAGGCTCCTGGTCTGAGGGTGAGCCTTTGGAAGAGATGCTCACCCAGCCCAGCCTGGGGGCCAGCCAGCCAGTGGAGGTGAGCCAGGTGTTGCCCATCCTCCTGATGAGTGTCACCTCCGCATCCAGAACGTGGCTCTCCAGGAATCACAGAGATGAGGGTCTGTGGGCAGAACCCAGGGCCTGCAGATCCAAAGGGCCTGGTTCAGGTTCTTCCCCATGACTGTGGCTCTTCCATGGCATCCTGAGCTTCATCCCACTCATCTTGGGGATGCAAAGCCTGGTTTTTAATATGTGCATTTTGAATATATATTTTCAGTGAATAAGGAGGCAGATTTTAAAAATTATAAAGAAATATATCTTTCAGGGAATTAATACTTATGTTTGCATCACTGGTAAATAAAAGTATTATTCTTAGCCATCATCTGTACATTACTACTATAGCCAATTAGGAATTTACATGTTTCCATCTCAATACTGATCCTTTTTCTACTGTAAAAAAATTTTTTCCAGGTTTGATTTCTGTATTAGGATAACCGTGAGAACACACATTTTTCTGTTTGAGGATTTGTGACTTCCTGTGGAAATCCATGTATTTACCAATGAAATTTAAAGTACTATTAAAGCTTTGCCTTAAATACATGAGTAGGAAAGTTTCTGCTTGCATTTAATTTACTTAATACTAAGCATGGTGGTGGTTATGAACTTGAATATTTTAAAACCTGGCTGAATTCAAATATATCAATGAACTGTTATAGTAGCTTATGGAGCAAAAATATTAAAGATAATAGCTGATAAATTTTCATATATTGTAATTTTAGTCAAGTAAAATATGGATGAAAATTAATGAATAAAGTAATATCAATTAATAGGAGAAAACATAACCTTGTGAGTTATTTTTTCCTTTTTATTTAAAAAATTATTATAAAATTTATGCCATAGTAAAAATTTCAAACAGTAAAAGGTGTACATAGAAAAGTCATTTCCTAATTCCGCAGTCCCATTCCCAGGAGCTTGGGTATCATTCTAGAAATGTACTGAACATATATAAGCATAAATATTTTTCATTTAAAAACATCCGTATTTCATGGGTGTTTTTCCACATTAGCACATTCAGACCTGCTTAGTTCTTTAAGGCTAGATAATTGATTTAAGCAATTGCTTATAGGTGGACATTTTGATTGATCCCACTATTTTATACACAGCATCTTTCCATACTGGCACACTGAATGGAAGTGGGTGAGTAGCAGGAAACATCTCTCCAAAAAGTGTACAATTTTCATTGACTAGAATAGACTTTCGAAAGGAGTGTGGCTAGGCTGGCAGCTTAGGATCTCATTGCTACTAAAAGAACAAGGTCATTCCTACAGCAGTTCTGAAACAATCACATACTAATGCTCTCTCAGGTGAGTAACTGCAAATCTCAGCAAACATCAGAAGAGTAGCTTACAATAAAAAGGTTACTGTCACTTTATGCCGAGGAAATAATTTAAGTAGCTTGGCAAACAGCAAAATAAAAAGAAAGAAATGTTTCAGAACAAGCTGTTATATTCATTTGGTATCAATAAAATGATCCAAAATAAACCAGAAGACCATGGTAAGTATAGCTGTGGAAATGATGAAATCTGCTATTTACTGTTTAAATTCAGCAGCTGAAAGAATCCTTTTGTAAAGATGTTTACATGCATTACTTCCAGACTGCATTATTCTTTGGAAAATAAGACCTACCAGTTAGAACTTGGGTATTATTGTTACCTTTTCCTTCACATCCACATCATGGTGATTAACTAACGCTCTCATTTTCTGGGCACATTCTTCTCCATATAATAGGAAAAACAGTGACCCTTTAGTGAAAGAAGGCTGAAGAGCTAAATGGCCTTCCTTTTTGAGGCAGTTATTTATATTCTGAAATAGTGTAAGAACTCGAAGAAGAATCTCCTTTGGCACGTGGCCATCATAAAGGGAAAGGAATGATGAATCCACCTGAAATAGGAAACAATGAGTATTAATATATGAAAACTTTTTTGTGTATATTTTTACATTTTAAAACTTGAATACATTTTAAAAATCTTATCGTAGAACATTAACCCTAAGATTGTATAACATAAATGCAAAATCTTATGTACTCTCACACTGTATACTAATGGGAAAAAGAGGTTTCATGTTTTAGCTGAAAAATACTATTTCCTTAGAATCCTAAAATACAAGACATTGTATCGTAGACAATGTATCGTAGAACATTAACCCTAAGATTGTATAACATAAATGCAAAATCTTATGTACTCTCACACTGTATACTAATGGGAAAAAGAGGTTTCATGTTTTAGCTGAAAAATACTATTTCCTTAGAATCCTAAAATACAAGACATTTGAAAAAACACCCATTTCCTTTTTTAACATCCATCATAGTCTTCATGGAAACTCATTAATTCACCAAACATTTACTGCACACCCCCCCTGCAGGGCACAGGGATGAGCAGATGAATACAACAGGGTCTTTTCCACAGGAGTTGAGGTCATTCTAACTCTGCACCACCTTTGCTTCCTCAGAACACTTATCTTTTAATTATCTTGTCCGTTTGTTACATATTTTTGTCTCCTCCCTACATTCTAAGCTCCATAAGGACAGGGCAAGCACCATGTTATGCTGTACTCACTGGGATATTAGCCCTCGGCCCAGCGTCTGGAACATACTAGGGACTCATTTCATACTAGTGCTTCAGCAGATAATAAGATACATGTGAACATAAACAAGTATAAAAGTGTGACGACATAAATGTACCCCAAATTGGGTAGAGACAGAAGAATTATTATTTTTGCTAGGGAGACCTTTTCAAAAACAATTTTTGAAAGTAAAATATGTTCATTACAAAAAATTTAGGAAATTCAGAACCAAAGAAAAAACAATATTGCTTCCTCAGAGATAGTCCCTGTTAACATTTTAAAAGAGATAAATCTATCCAGATCTATGTGTCCAAATCTATATATTTGTATATTTACAAAACAAATATGTAAGCTATTTACTTGGGCACCAAGAAGTCCTTCTGTCATGGCTGGATTTTCAGACAAATTCAACAGTAGTTTTAAAACTTGAACCTGAAATAAAAATAATATTGGTTTATTTCACACTCAGCTGGCAGTGCTATTTAAACCGTATTTTTCCAATTACATTGTTAGGGAGATAGAAAATTGTGAATGTCTTCACTATCCACCCCCACCCACATGCATACCTAACACATGGTAGGCTTAACATATGTTACATAAGTGATCTTTATTATGATTACTGTTAGGTGAAATATGATCTTTGAAACAAAAAGGGAATTTCTCAAAGCTGAGTTTATTTCTATTTAAAGTATAAAAATTTTAAAACAGTTTGGTTACCAAGACTAAATAAATAACAATATGGCCCTTCTTAGGTTACAATGAATCTTTGAGCTAACCTTTTTTTTTCTTTAATTAAAAAAAAAAAATTTTTTTTTAAATATATTTTTATTGATTTCAGAAAGAGGAAGGGAGGGGGGGAGAGAGATAGAAACATCAATGATGAGAGAGTCATTGATCAGCTGCCTCCTGCACTGGGGATCAAGCCCGCAACCTGGGCATGTGCCCTGACAGGGAATCAAACCACGATCTCCTGGATCGTAGGTTGATGCTCAACTGCTGAACCATGCCAGCAGGGCATGAGCTAATCTTTTTAATGTGAAAAATGTTTCACAGTCATTTAAATAGGCAGTGATATAATCAGCAAACAAACGTTAACATAGCTGAGTAGCTAAAATATCAGCATTCTTATCACTGATAACTGAAAACTTAGTAATAAAAAAACTCAAATAGAATTCCTACTTTAAAAACAAAGGCCAAGTAAAACTATAGTTTCTAGAAGATACTTGAAATTACAGAGTGAGGAGGAAAGAAGGGGTGCTGAAGTCAGGAAACGTGACAAATGTGCTCTCCATTAGACCTGAAAAGGAACCTGGATGTTTATTTGACAAAACTTTCTTTGATTACAAAGGCATTACGTATTTACTAGAGAATATTAATTAAAAAGATTAAAAAGCATGAAAAGGAAATTCATCCATATTTCCATGACCAGAAATGATCACTATTAAGGTTTGGTATTTTCTCCCTGATCTTTATGTATCTATCCTATATACTCATATATTCTTTTGAACATGTACATACTGATTTGTTAGTTGAGGAGAATATATAACTTTAATTTTATTTTTTTAATCAACATCAAAAAATTTTTTCCCTGTGGAAAACCACTGCATGAAATATTGATATTAAACTTTATTTTCCTTAAAATTTTTTAATAAAAGGAATAAGTGATCATGATAAATTTCAAACAGTGCAGGAGGAAACAAGGTAAAAACAAAAGCAACCTTCCTATCTGTCCAGTGCACTCCCCCAGTGAAAACCACGGGCAGCAATTTCTTGTATGTGTGGAAAGCATGCTTTTCAAACAGATATCCTTTATAAAAGTTCAGCCTCTTAGAAGAGTAAAGACCACTTTTGACGTTTCTTTATTGCACTCCCTGTAGTTACTGTCAGATCTGGTCTGGCCTGACTGGCTGTCAGCAACACCGAGAATAAGTGTTTGGAATAAAACACTTGTCTCCAATATCAATGAAGTTTTGATTAAGAAAACAGGTACAAGAGTTCTGAAATAGGATGGCCCCAAACCTACGAAATAAAATCTAAAAGGCCCACTAGTGGTCAATGAGGGCAGGTTTACAACCAGGAAATAGTAACTACAATAGCAATCTAGTATCCTCAACTAAAATTCTACATTGCTATGTTCCTAAAAGAGAGTTAAACATGAAAAAAATAACAAGTTAGAGTGCAATTACAGATTATGTAGTTTGGTTTGAAACCACATTAAGTCTCATCACATGTGCCACCTTGTGGTGACTGGGACATTTCTTTTAAGCCATTAATTTTCTTTGCCCTCACTGTAGATGTAGCAAACAGTTTACTTACATTAATCTTCCAATATTTGTATTTAGTTATCAATCAGTGTTGCACCCAAAAGGTAGTACAGTAAGATCACTTACTAAAAATAAGATTTAGAAAAAGTCATTTTGGTGGTTATTTACTAAGAAAATATCTAAAACGAATACATTTTCCCACTTACAAATGGATTACTATCCAAAAGTTAATTTGCAAGTTGGAACTTTACATTTTTTTTTTATAGAGAAACAATGTTATAATTGGTGGTTAGATTCCCAGACAGACCAAAAAAGCAAATTTTCTATTCCAGAAATAATGTACTAGGCAATGTAATGGAAAAACAGAAATAGAACATACTATTGTGGTATGAGTCACCTTTTTTTTTTTTTTTA